TAATATATATTATATATAATTATATATTATATAAAAATTATATTAAAAAAATATAATTAATATATATTTCTTATAAAAATATTATACATTTTTAAATTCTAAAATTTATTTTAACATATATATTCTTTATATATCATATTTTTCTTATTATATATATTATTTTTTTTTTATTATCACACGGGCCCGTTCCCCACCAAGGCGGGGTGGCCCAAAAAGAAAAACTTTCACATATTCACTCCATCACTGCTTCCAAAGGGGTGCTTTACACACAGTTTTTAAACTCAACATTAACACCCCTCCTTCAAGTGCAGGCACTGTACTTCCCATCTCCAGGACTAATCCGGCCTGCTTTTCCCTGATCCCTTCTAAATGTTACTTTTCCACCCCAACAGCACGTCAAGTAAAAAAAACCATTTGTCTCCTTTCACTCCTATCAAACACGCTCCACACCCGCGGAAGCCCAAAGCCCCTCGCCACAAAACTTTTACCCCCTCCCTCCAACCCTTCCTGGGCCCGACCCCACCCCCCCTTTTCCTTTCCCACTACAGACTGTAACCTTGAAGTCATTCTGTTTCGCTCCATTCTTCACTGTCCAAACCCACCCAAAAACCCCCCTTCCTCACCCCCCTTGGAAACATTTTTTTGGAATCCCACCCCTCCTCCTAACTTCCAAACAGAATTCCTTTTATTCACCCCAACATTCCCTAGACACGAACCCCCACTCCCTCCACCTTCTCCCCCTGCAACATTCATCACCCACGCTTCACACCCATATAAGGCTTTGGTAAAAATACTCTCAAACTTCCCTCTTTGCCCCCAAAGGACAAAGTTCTTTTGTCCCCACAGACTCCTAAGTGCCCCACTCACTTTTTTCCCTCATCAATTCTTGATTCACCTCATCTTTCATAGACCCCACCGGGGGACCGTCCATCCCAAATACTAATCGTTCACCTCCCCATACCTCCCCCCAATCGATACAATCTTTCATCACCTAATTTTTTTTGTTACCCTCAAAACCTTACTCTTTCTGTTTCCCCTTTTAATTTTTTTTTTTTGCACACCCTCCCCAAATTCATCCACCATCCTGCAACTTCTCTTAGAATCCCCCAAAGGCCAGTGTCATCAGCAAAGGGGCAGCTGTGAAAAACCCCCCACTTTGTGTTTTGATTCTTTATCTTTTACTCCACGCCTCTTGCCAAGACCCTCGCATTTACTTCCTTACAACCCCTCTATAAATATATTAAAAACCCAGGGTGACTAAACCCTCCTTTCTAACCTACTTTTACTGGGAAAAAAAATTTCCCTCTTTCCTACATCTCAAAAACTTGACCTCCACCCTCGTAAAAAACCTTTCACTGCTTTCAGAAACCTACCTCCTACCCCCATACACTTGCAACATCTGCCACATTCCCCCCCCTATCCACCCTGTCATACCCTTTTCCCAAAATTCCATAAATGCCCAAAAGACCTTTTTACCCTTTCAAATACTTTTCACTTAATGTTTCATTTGTAAAACCTGGTCCACCCCCCCACCTTCCTAAAGCCTCCTTGTTCATTGCTATCCTTTTTTCTCCTCTTACTCTTAATTCTTTCAATTATAACCTACCATACCACTTTTCCCCGGTCACCAAAATTATCCCCCCATAATTTTTGCCTTCTCTTTTACCCCTTTGCCTCTATACAAAGGGAAATATGCATGCTCCTGCCAATCCCTAGGTACCTTTTTCCCTCTTCCATACATTTTTAAATAATTGCACCCAAACCCCTCCAAAACTATATCCCCCCCCTTTAACATTTCTTTTTTATCCCATCAAATTTTTGGCTGCCTTGCCCCCTTTCATTTTACCTACTGCCCCACGAATTCCCCCCCACTCCAATGGCTCTTCCTCACCCTACAAGATTTTTTTCCCCCTTTTCCCTATACACGAAATCACAGTTTCCCTATCTTCTCAACATTTAACAATTCCCCAAAATATTCCCTCCATCTTCCAATACCTCTAACTCTCCATTTAAAAACTCCCTCCCTATTTTTAACTGACAAACCATTTTTTCTTAGGGTTTCTTAAATTTTAACTCACTCCAAAAAATTTTTCTTATTTTCAACAAAAAATTTTTTGATAAATCTCACCATCTTCATTTTCTCTCTTTTTACATTGCTTCACCACTCTCTTAACTTCTCTCTTTTTTTTCCATAACTTTCCTCCTTGCATCACTTTACTTTGTAAAAACTTCTCATACTAACTTTTTCTCCCTTACTACTCTCTTACATCATCATTCCACCCAATCGCTCCTCTTCCTCCTGCACCCATTTCCTGAACCCAAAATTTGCTGAACACTCTAACACTACATTTTTTTAAACCCACCCCATACCTCTTGACCCCTTTTCCTTTTGCTTCATTGCCCATTATCCCCCAATAGCTTTTATTCTTACCCTACTGCCTCCCTTTTTTTATAAACCTTCACCTCTCTCTTCCCTGATGCTTTATTTTTCCCTTTTACCCTCTCCTTTTTCTGTGAGCTAAAACTAGAAAGTGATTGATATATTTGCCCCCCCTATAAAATGTACATCCTGAAGTCTACTAACAGTCTTTTATTCCAAAACTAATCCCAAAAAACTACTGTCATTTCCCCCCTACATCAATCGTGTATACTTATTTTCCTCTTTTTTTTAAAAAATTATTACCTATAACTAAACCCCCTTTTTATACAAAGTTCAATCAAAGGGCTCCCATTTATTTTCACCTGGCACCCCAAAAATTTCCTACCACCCCCCCCTAAAATTTTCCCCCCTTTTTGCATTCAATCCCCTACCACAATTACTCTCTCCTTGGTTCAAAGGCTCCCATCATTCATTAACTTCCCAAAATCTTCTTCCCTCTGCTTCCTCCCCTTTGTGCAAAAACGCTTATTTTACCCATTCTCGATCCAACCTTTCTTTAAAACCACAAATTTTTGAATTTTACACTTTATTTTTTTTTCTCCCTTTCCAAAAGTCATTTAAAAATTAATGTACCCTTCTTCTTAATTTTAGATTCCCGATTTTCCTTTTTTCCCCCCCCCGAAACCCCTACCCCCCTTCGTTTTGTTTCGCTTAGGGCCGGACTAATTTTTTCTTATAAATAGAATATTGTTTTTGTTGAAAACGGGTTTGGGGGCCTTTTTTGTTTTTTTTTTTTTTTTGTAATTTTTCAGGGGGGGGTTTTGTAATTTTATTTTTTTTTAATTATTCTTTTTTTTTTTTTTTTATTTTTTTTTTAAAAAAAAATTATAAATAAAAAAAAAAAAAAACTTTTTTAAAAAAAAAAAAAAAAAAAAAAAAAAAAAAAAAAAAAAATATTATAAACAAAAAAAAAATTTAATTTTTTATATAAATTACTTATTATATAAATATAATATATATATATTTAATATTATATTAATTTATATATATATATTTTTATATATATATATAAAATTTATATATAAATTTTCATATTATTAAAATATTATATTATAAATTTATATTTTTTATTTAATTTTTATTTTTTTTATATATTTATATATTTTTTTATAATTGTAAATTTTATTTATTTTTTTTTTATTTTATTATATTAATATATTTATTTTTTATATTATTATTATATAGTATTTATAATTTTATATATATATATATTATATATATTTTATATATATATTAATTTTAATTTTTATTTTATATTATTAATATTTATTTTATATATATTATATTATATTTATTATATTTATAATATTATATGTATTTATTTATATATAAAATTATATATTTTTTATTATATATAATAAATTTATAAAATTTAATTTTTTAATAAAATTTTTATTTTTTTTTTAAAAAATATAAAAATTTTTAAAAAAAATTATTATAAAAATTTTTTAAATAAAAAATATATAAATATATAATATTATAATATATTAAATATATACATAAATAATTTTATTTTTTTAATAATATAACACCCTTTAAAATTTCCTTTTTTTTTTTTGTTTTAAAAAATAGGTTGAGAAAAAAATTTTTTAAAAATTTTTAAATTAAAATTTGATTTAAAAAAATTTTATTTTTTTAATAATTTTTTTTTAAAAATTTTTTAATAAAATTTTTTAAAAATTAATTTAAAAAAATACAAGATTTTTACTGGGTTAATTTCCCTGTTTGTCCAACTTAATAAAGGTTAGAAAACATCGTTGAAAAAACACATGGGGAATTTGGGGGGGAAAATTTTACGGGGGAACGGCCCCCCCACAGGGACGATTAAATAACCCTTTACCTTTTAAGAAACCCTTTTGGCCCCATGACCCCGGTGCCAAAAAAGTTTCCTTCAAAAAGGGCCCAAGGGGTTGCCCAGCAATCAACTTTTTTTCCTGGCACTGAAACTAAATTTTTTCCCCACAACGTGGAAGAGGGGTAATTGGCGAACAGAAAGGGTTGGGGCCACGTTTTCAGGCTTAGGGGAAAAAAAATTAAAAGGTTTCGGCCACAAGTTTACTGAGGGAAAACCCCCCGGGGAGGGGGCCCCGGGGTGGCACCAACCGTGGGCCCACAAAAGGGATTGGAGCCCAAAAACCCCCCCCCACAGAAAGTGGGGGGGAAAAACCCCCCCAAACCTCCCCCGCTTCCCCACACCTAGGGTGTTTTCGGCTCCTGTTCTTCAAGATTCTCCTTTGTATGGACTGATGAAGCCACTGTGTGGCGAAACGTTTCCTCAATAAAGATACCCAAGAGTTGCACATGTGTCTAATTTTTCACACTGTAATGTCCTGACACTGTAACACTGCAATGTGCTTACACTGACACTATACTGTGCTGACATTGAGACACGTTATATTGTGCTGATACTGAAGCAATTTGTACTGTGCTGACGACACACGCTGTACAGTGCTAGACACACGATATAATATGGTGACGACACACACGATGTACTGTTGTAAGAGGAACACACTGCGCGGCATGAGGTGGGCCGCCCGGAGCACAACAAGTGGTTCCTTACACAAAAGGCGAGGGTGATGCGCCAGCACCACTCCACCCAACATTGTAAGTCACATGGGAGCACTCGCCAACACCTCACCACCAGCTTCTCCCACACTACGGCTGCTGATATTGTAGCGGCGACCACTCCACCTTCGTCACTCCTCCTGTAGTGACTTACGCAAGGCTTTCGGTGCCCATCGCTCGCAGATACCTTTGGACAAAACCAGTTAACTTCTAGGGCAGTGAGGGACTACTGCAGTGATCCAGCAGTGCAGAGCTACAATTCTGAATTGTGCACTGTTTTATAGCTGTGAAATTTTCTCAGCCACTACAACAGTGAGAAGAGGGTGCCACAAATGAGGACGAGAGAGCCACGAAACGGAATGCGTGGCACTGTCACTTGAACAGAGCGTATAGGAATCAAGCACCAGGAGCCTCTTGCAGTGCCACCACAGTAAACTGAGCCAGGAAGGGCACCAGGAGCCTCTTGCAGTGTCACCACAGTAAATTGGTCCAGGGTGGGCACCAGTATCCGTTGCAGTGCCACCACACCAAGTTAGGTTAGGGAGGGCGGCGTAAAGGACTAGGGACCCCCACAAGGAAGAGTGGAGCAACAAGTCCCTCACCAGCCACACGCTGCTCCCTCGCTTCCCACCTTCATAACACACAGTCTTGACCTTGTAGTGATATATATCGCAGTGAAAATACACCAAACATTTGTTGAGGAGGAGAGTGTACTGCTAGATACAGTATTGAGCCTTCACAGGGAAGTAGAGACGTTAAGAGGCACTATCACACAGCTGCACTGTTGCTCCAGGCATCAGGCTCGCCACCCACTAATTATAACAATAAACAATTCAATAAATCCTCTTCTAACGGCATTGTAAGTGTCAACGAAGTAACGCAATATATTCCTGGTGGATAACTAAAATCTCTCAGACAGACTCAGTGCTTGGTAGCAGCGAGGTGCAGGTAACGTGTTACAAGCAGCCTCAGGTTGTAGCCTGCAAGGCTGCAGTGAGAGGTGCAGGCAACAAAGGGAGAGCGAGGGCGGCAGCAACACAAAAGTGAGTCTGTCATAAGAGTTGAGCGGGTGTGCGTCCTGCACCCGGCACCATCCTCCACTAGCGTCCTGGTAACTTCCACTCTCCTTCATCGTGGTAACCAGCCAGAGTACACGCCATAACTAGTAGTGATGTGATGGTGGTGGTGGTGGTGGTGGTAGTTGTGGTAGTGGTGGTGATGGTGGTGGCGGTAGTGGTGGAGATGGTGGTGGCAGTGTGGTGGCGCGTGGCGGAGTGCGGGGTGGTGGCGCTGGGCACTCCTGACCTGGAGGCGCAGGTGGCTTTGCGGCGCCCGCGTTCATCCCCTTCCCCTCACCCTGCGTCCCTCCCTCTCCCCTCACCCTTCGTCCTTCCCCCCTCCTACAAGCGGGTGAGCTACCTTCATTACGGAGCAACGAACAACACAGCTACACTATAATGACAGTGTTCCACACACACACACAGTTACGAAACCGTAGAGTGCAGAAAACACAGGAGACAGCGTGTAGAGTAGCGACGTGTGGCAACACGGAGTGCCAGGCGCTCCAGAAGCCGCAAGATGAAGCCAGACTTGTAGCTGGCACCAACCCCGCTCATTCAAGTGCCGGCACCCGGCCCTAACACAGCTCCACAACTACTCTCGCACACTAGACCAGACAACACAGCCTCCCCAGTACGGCCGTAATAGCGAAGGCCTACGACTGCCAGGCATCTCCCACACCTCCAAAGCTCACGCATCATCTCCGCTATCACACTGACGGCTATCCACTAAACCCGTGGGGATCGTACAGCATCCAACTCCTCTAGGATGCTGTATCTCATGAATGGTTCAATCTGATGCTATAGGCAGGTCACGACACACACGTCTGGGATGACTGATGATTGAGCCTTCAGCCTCGCATTCACCCACACCCTTGATGGTACCTCCCTTCAAGGGATGAACCATTCCTAGATAAACGATTCCTAGATGAACTTCCCCAGATGAACCATTCTTACATGGACCATCCCTAGATGCATCATCCTTGACGAAGTATCCCTAGGTGAACCATCCCTAGATGTCCATCCCTTTATGAACCATTCCTAGATGAACCAGCCCTGATTGAACTTGAAGCTGAGTAGATGAAGGCTGACAACCATTACCCCTGAAGGTCACGCAGGTCAAACAACTTACAAACATTAAGTCTGCAAAAAAAAAAAAAAAAAAAAAGAGCCCACTCATGCAGCACCTGGACCGGATTCCTGGAATTCCAAATATATAAACAAGTTCACAATACCACTAGCACGAACACTCTGTATCTTTTGGAGAAAGAGCTTCGATGCAGGTGAAATTCCAGAGGACTTAAAGAGTGCAGACATAACTTCTCTGCACAAAAGAGGCAACTTACAGGCAGCAGCACTAACATCACACATCACAAGTCTTCAAAAGGGCGTTAAGATGCCAAATTACAAATTTTATGGAACAGAAAAAAGCACAACCCAAACCAACATAGATTTTCAGCAGAAAGATCGTGTTTGTTATAACTACTAAACCACTATAACAGAATTACGGAGATGTTGGGAGAAAATTAAAACTGGGATGTGTTGTACACGGATTTCACAACAGCAGCAGAGAAATACGATCACTGGGTGACTGCAAACACATTGAGAGCGACGAGTATAGCAAAGTAGGCAAATGAATATACAACTTTCTGACACAACATAAAGAGTGGTAGTAAACAGAGGAAAATTCAGCATTAACTAAGTACCCCAAGGCACATTCCTGGCACCTTTACTGTTTCTTATCCTCATGGCAGACAAACACTCGCCACAGTTACTTATCATCACTCCCGCTTGATACCAGAATAAGCACGGAAATCACGTCTTTCAGTTAGCAGTTGAAAACATTACATTCAGTGATAACAAGTTCCAACTGCTGTGATATGGAAAGACCTAGAAGTAATAATGTCAGCTGATCCTTCATTTAAAGAACACAATAAAGCAAATGTCACCACGGCCAAAAAATTTCTGAAGATGGATAATGAGAACTTCCAAAATAAGGGAAATAGTGCCAATGGTAACATTCAAATCACTTGTGCTCTCTGGCTTAAAGTAATGTTTCATTGTTGACAGGTCCTTTCAGGGCAGGATATATATATATATATATATATATATATATATATAATATATATATATATATATATATATATATATATATATATATATATATATATATAATCAGAACTGGAAGAGGTTCAGAGCTCATTTACTGCGCGTATACAGCCAATGAGGCATTTAAGTTTTGGGGAATTCTTCAAGGTCCTAAATATGTACTCGCTGGACCGTAAGAAAAAGATATGTGATAATAGATATGTGGAAAGTACTTGAGTTCCTCGTTCCAAATATGCACACTGCCATAACATACTGGACTGAGATGTAAGTGTGTGCGTAAAATAAACCTAGAAAAAGGCCGGGGCGCCGTGGGGACAATAAGAAAACACTGTATCAACATTCGTGGTGTCAGACTTTTTATAACTTATCAGAAGATGTCAGAAACGCCGCTGCTCGGACAAGTGTCTTCAAGAGGAAACTCGACAATTTCCTTAGTCAAGTGCCGGATCAACCAGGCTGCAATGTATATGAGAACCAGCGGGCCAATAGCAGGAACAGCCTAGTTGGCTAGGCAAGCGTCAGGCTGAAGATTTACACACATGTGCAACATCTGGGTATCTTTATTTGTAGAGATTTCGTTATCCAGTGGCTTTATCAATACATGAAGAAATGTGAAGACTGTAGAATTATATATAAAAGATGAGGTAATTAGTCCCTCAGTCTTCTAGTTAGTGAAGAGCACCGTAGTTTTGAAGATTATCATCACAGTCTTGAAGACTACGATGATCAACTCCAAGGCTGAGGGACTGATTACCTCATCTTTTGTATACAGTTCTACAGTCTTCACATTATGTCCTTGTACTGATGAAGCCACTGGAGGGCGAAATGCCAACAAATAAAATACCCAGATGTTGCACATGTGTGTAATTTCTCATGTTGTCGGTACTGTATACCTTTTATGTACCAGGCTGTGGTAGGTAAACTCTCAAAACCCGTGACAGACATATCGAGTGTAAGGCGAGTAGATGCAGGGCGACAGAGTGCGCGGCACTTAGATGACGCTCCCGTCACACCAGACCAATCATTGATCAGGATCAACCTCCATACAACAAACAACATGCGCGCGCACACTGCCAAGTCAAGTCCCTGGATCGAGAGACCTGATCCTCGGACATCGTACAAGAAACTCACCAACTATATAAGACTTTTCTCCAGCAAAACTGAGCACACGACCCTAGGAGTTTGTTCAGTATTAAAGGTGAACAGTTATACACATGGTCAGAAAGTGAAGGTTGTACCAGTCAATAAGAGAGTTTTCCAAGAACACACACACACACACACACAAGTGGAACAATCTAGAGAGTGATGTAGTGGAGGCAGGATCCATACATAGCTTTAAGAAGTACGATAAAGCTCTTGGACTGGGGAGAGAGAGGACCTAGTAACGATCAGCGAAGAGGCGGGGCCAGGAGCTATGAATGGACTCCAGCAACCACAAAGAGTTGAGCGCAAACACACACACACACACACACACACACACACACACACGAGCTTCTCTAATACAACCTACCTAACATTCTCCCCCCTGACTCTCCACACTATATATACTCAAGCACTCCTCACCCAGGTAGATCTGTTTGTGACTTGATAAAGCCCACTGTGTGGGCGAAACGTTGTCAATAAAGGATCCCATTATACTGCATTTGTGTCTGTTTTTCCATCGTGTCGGTATTTTATGCCTTTTATCCCCACTGATAATTTTGTTTTATTACCACATCGGTCGTCTCCCACCCAGGCTGGGTGACCCGAAAAGCAAGAAACGCTTTCACCACTCACTCCATCACTGTCTTTGCCAGAGACGTGCCTACACTATAGTTCAAAAACTGCAACACATTTCCACCCCTCGTATAGAGTGGAGCCACTGTACTTCCCACCTCCAGGACTCAAGTCCGGCCACAGATACATCAGGAAGTATTTCGTCTCAGTGGAATTGAGCTAGATGGGGAACTGGAAGCAAACGCCATTTTTAATAGCTTAAAGAGTAGATATGACGACTAGAGAGACAGAATCGGCGTATCGACCCTCCCGTAAAAGCAACTTGGCGAGTACACCAGAGAAACGCACAGAATCCTCAAACAGGTCGATTAACAGGTAGAAAACGGGGCGTAAACAGCTGACAAACACATCAACTTGATGACAAACTTCAGAGCTCCGCTCCTTCCAGTCTCACCAGATAAAACTTAAAAGTTCACAGAAGGCGTCAAAGTCATCCCTTCCCATCCTCCCTTCCTCCCTCATCCCTTCCCATCCTCCCTTCCCCCCTCATCCCTTCCCATCCTCCCTCCCCCCCTCATCCCTTCCCATCCTCCCTTCCCATCCTCCCTTCCCCCCCTCATCCCTTCCCATCCTCCCTTTCCCCTTCATCCCTCCCATCCCCCTCATCCCTTCCCATCCTCCCTTCTCCCTCATCCCTTCCCCCTCATTCTTTCCAATCCTCCCCCCCCCCGATCTCTCAATACATCTACACAACACGCTTGATAAATTAGACACATATGCAACTCTTGGGTATCTTTATTGAGGAAACGTTTCGCCACACAGTGGCTTCATCAGTTCTTACAAAGGAGAAACGTGAAGAACAGGAGGAGAATGAGGTAATCAGTCCCTCAACCTTGAGTCAACGTGTCGGTTCTCTGAACCATTCGTCAACAATACGCTTGTTGGCCTACCTTCCCCTACCTCGATCATTCTTCACGCCTCTCCTCTCTCTATCCTCACTCTTCCAAAAACAGTCATCAACGCAAGTCAATGACACAAATCACAATGCTGCATCAATCTGCCCGTAAAATATTAACATTCGTATGAGATTTTTTAATAATTCATGTCAAGCGCTAAACCTACACGAGTCATTCAGTGCAAGACGTGGTGGAGGCTTGATCCTCCGTCTGCTGAGCGAGAGATGGACGCACTACCTATTCTTACTCGCCTAGATGTCTGTACGAGCGTTTAACTTCTGGTTAAATCAACCCACTTGCACTGTAATTCAAAGTCTCCTGAACTACGGAACTGGAGCTGCTCTACCCTTCCTTGGATCAAACGTTAATACCACCTAATACTCCCCCCCCCCCGTAAATGACACCAACAGGTACAACGAATCTCGTCAAAGTATTAATGACAACAGTGTGTTAAT